GCCCATCGAGCAGTGCCAGTCCATCATTGCCAAGCTGGCCGTCATCTGGGTGGGCTCCATGACGCTGTCGGTGCCGGAGATCCTGCTCTGGCAGCTGGCGCAGGACGCGTCGCCCGTGTCCGGCGTGGCGAGCGAGTATTGCACCATGAAGCCCTCGGCCAAGCTGCCCGAATCCATCTACTCGCTGGTGCTCACCTACCAGAACGCCCGCATGTGGTGGTACTTCGGCTGCTACTTCTGCCTGCCCATCCTGTTCACCGTCAGCTGCCAGCTGGTGACGCGGCGCATCCGCGGCACCGACAAGAAGAGCGAGTGCCGGGGCACCAAGCACGGCCAGTGCGAGGGGCACCTGAACTGCACCATCATCGCTCTGACCGTCATCTACGGGCTCTGCACCACCCCCGAGAACGTCTGCAACATCGTGGTGGCCTACATGTCCCCCGACATGTCTAAGCAGACCTTGGATCTGCTCAACCTCATCAACCAGTTCTTCCTGTTCTTCAAGTGCTCGGTGACGCCCGTCCTGCTGCTGTGTCTCTGCCGGCCCCTGGGCCAGGCCTTCATGGACTGCTGCTGCTGCTGCTGCGAGGGCTGCGGCCCCGACACCAGCTCCAGCGAGAGCAGCGCCGACAGCAAGCTCAAAACCGAGATGTCCTCCTCCATCTTCTTCGACAAGCCCCGGGAGACTCCCCCACCCCTGCTGGCCCTTGGCACCCCGTGCTAAGTGCCACTGGGGAGCCGTAGCGATCGTTTCACCACCTCCTCCCAAGCCCAAACGTTGTTTTGCCGTTAGTACTCGTGTCTGGATGCGGAACAAGCAGAAAGAGACAGCTCAGGGGGCTGCGCCGTGGGCTTCAAACCCAGCATTGGGCAGGTGGGGCTTGAAATCCCAGTCCCCGTGGCTGGGCTGGTGACCCTCTTGCCCCTGCCCAAAGGTCAGTGAGGACAGCAGCACCCTCCTGTCCCAGCTGCCTGGCCGGGCTCCGTGGGGCTGCTGCTCTGGAGATGGCGTTGTGCCGGGAAGGTCCTACCTGAAACCACAGAGGCTGGCCACGATGGCTCACAGAGGACACAGCAAACACAAACTGCCCTCTTCCTGTCCCCTCCCCTCCTGCCAGCCCCTCCACAAGAGGAGAAAGTCCAACTGGCTGTATCCCACGGATTCAAGCCATGCCCTGTACGAGCTCAATAAACCAGTAACCTAGAGCACGTTGTGCTTGCAGCTGCTGGCACTGCTGGGCTGAGCCCTGGGAGCCCCTTGGAATGGCTCTTCCCTAAACCTGGGGGGCTCTGGGGTCGGCATGGGCAGCTGGGGGGCAGGAGGGCAGGGAAGCAGCTGTGCCAGAGCAGGCAGAGGCGAGGGGAGATGGGGAAAGGCCCCCAGCCCCTTTGCTCCCTCCCTCTGGGATGATGCTGAGCGGTGCCTGTGAGAAGGTGCCCTCTGAAGTGTTGGGTTTGGGGTGATTTGTAGGACCTGAACTCAGTAAAACCCAGCCAGCCCAGCACAGGGCTGAGGTACCCCCCAGCCTGCTGGTTCCCCACATGCACTATGCACAACCAAGGTGCTCCCACTGCACTGCTGTGAGGGAAATGTGGGACCACCAACCCCAGCACCCCTTGGAGAGCTTTGGGATGAGCACCCAAACTGCCCCACAGGGCTCCTGGCCCTCATCCACGTGCCCATTGCAGGGACACAATTGTCCCAGGACTGTTTCAGGGCATCAGGGTTCCCAAGCCCTCGTCCACCCTTTGCCCAAGGCCCCCGCAGGGGCAGGGGGGATCAGGGGGGTCAAGGAGGAGGCAGGACGGATCTGCCCGAGGGCAGCCTGGCCACGGCAGCCCATCCACCGGAGCTGTTAGAGCTCCTTGTCCCAAGTGCTGGCAGCCACCCCAGCCCCGGGATGCCGGGGCGAGGGAGACGGTTGCTACGGGCACTGAAAGCGAGGGGCTCACTGCGGGCTTTGTGCGCAACACCCACCGGGCTCCGCGCGCGCTTTGCTTTCGCAGAGCCGTTTCCAGGGAAACAAAAGCCCCAGTTTTCTTTTGAGAACACAAAACTGGGTTTTTCCTTTCATCCTCCTCCCCCCAGCCCCGCGTTGGGCCCCACAGTTTGGGAGGAGAGGGGTCTCATCTTGGCACAGGGATGCAGGGGGGCTCAGGGTGCAGGCCGTACCTCAGCCCCCGGTGTGCCCAGGGGGCGAGCGGGGTCCCTGGGAGGGTCTGGCGGCCCCGGGGTGCTGGGGGAGGGCGTCTCTCATGCGCCTCGTCCACCTCGCTCCGTCCTGAGCCTGGGCCAAGGGCGAACAAAGCCAGGCTTGTGCTGCGGCCCCGCGGGGCTGCACGCGTGGGGAGGGACAGGGGCAGCGCTGTCACCATGGGCTGGGCACAGCACACACAGAGCCCCTATGGGCTGGGCGGTACCCCACAGCACACACAGAGCCCCTATGGGCTGGGC